AGAGGTCGCTGAGTCATGTATTTTTTTTAAAATATGTCCTGAATATTTAAGCTAATTTCCAGTAACTCCTATGACGCTGGCTTCGTTCAACTCTTTTTTACAACGTTCAACACAACATTTATTCTGAGTTATTTTGGTGACCTTGAGAGAATCAGAATATATCACCCGCAAACTGCTGGTGGCTCAAGTAGTATCCATTTATTTTCAACCTATGATTTTTTCAGTTGAGTGTCTTAAGAAGCTCCTCTGTGAATGTCTTCTGTGATATTACGTTTCCCCATCAGACGCCCTTTTCGATTTTTAACTTGTGCTTTCGGAACTTGCTTGAGCTTCACGCTAGCCGTTACCTTCTAGTATATCATTGCAGTATGAGGTCTCTGTATTGTTTCTCGATTCCCTGGCTCCTCAAAGAATCTGATATAGAACGGATATATACCTATACTGAATCGAACGCCTTGTCGAAATCGATTAAATCCAGAGAGAGGAATTTGAATTTGTTGCTTGTCTGAGTTACTCGTTGTACCTGCTGGAGATGATCCAGCGTGCTGAATCCACTTCTGAATTCTCTTAGCTCCTTAGGCTGTCTGGAGTCCCGTTTCTCACTATGTCTGTTCGTAAGTACTTTCACAGTGATGTTGTAGATGATTGGCAACAAACTGATCGGCCTGTCGTTCTACAGAACTATTGTCTCCTTTTCTGTAAAGTAGAATCACCCACGTGGTAGTCCAATAGTTGTAAATTTTTAGTTCCTTCCAACAGCGGTAAAACAAACGCGCTAATATCTGTCAAATCTTCACTCTCTGATTCTAGGGGGCTTCTCTGTAATGCAGTGTTTTCCGAAGCTTTCCTCACTTCACCGGTCCTATTACGTGTCACATTTCAACAGGTGAGATATAGAAATTTTCCACCCGTTTTCAATTCCGTTTTCTATCCCTGATGACAATCCTGTATTTTACTGTGAAGGCTAAAATTTGTCGTTTCTCGACCGTCAATCGCTAATTTAAGTTCGTCATGCTTTGGTTGTTTTCGGTAGTTCCCTTTACCAATTTGCGTTTGATTGCTCGGTTGTTTTTTTTCCATTACCTTCGTGTTGCGAAGTTTCACGACAGTTTGATTTTTGACTAAAGATCTGTAGTTTTCTACATTTCACTTCGCTTGATCATGAGTTCTTTCGTTTGGTTTGTGACTTTTCAGTGGACCTTCTTAGTCCTTGTTCCGGATATTCTGTCCACCGTTTCTGTAACTGCCTTCGGCATGTGGTGATACACTGCGTTGTTTTAACTGTTTGCATTTTCATGTGTATCGTTAAAAACTCAAGAGTTATTTAATTTGAGTTGAAACAACAGGGCGTGTTTTAGTTGTGTGCCCATCGAGTATCTTTCATCTCGTTCTCAGCGGTTTCTTTTTTTCTTAAAGCTGAGGCTAGGCGCACTTTTTGGGTCGTTTTCTGCGTTGAGCTGTGCGGTACTGCGATATTCTGCACTGTGTTCTTTATGTTATTGAGGATTAAATCAGTTTCATTCTTGACGTCATTTGAATATTCCCACGTTCACTTTTAAACCTACTAACTCACGGAAAAGTCATCTTGTAAAGACTAAGAAAATACTCTGTCTTTCTAAAGGCAGTCATTGCAGCTGTTAAAAAAGGAATGTTTTTAAGCTTTCGGATGTCGGTACCTTTACACGTTCATGATTTGAGGCCATTTGTGACTTTCTTCTTTTCATGCATTTTATAGTTTCCGCGTTGTTCTGTGTTTTTTGTGCCATCCGTTAGGAGTATTTTATAGTAAAGGGGGAAATCTAAGCTATGTCGCAACATAATAAACCTACCACAGCCTAAAAGCTGAGCTGCACGTCGTCTGGCGAACCTCTCTGCTACCTTCCTACCACTTTGACGTAATGGAAGTAAGACTTAGAGGGACCACATGCATATGCTTGCAAAATTGAGTGTTATTCCTTAATGCAGTGTGATAGCGACAGCGACTTAATGGTAATTCTGATACATCTCAAGCAACGTTTAATTCAGAAAAGCAGACTTCTTCCGTTATAGTCATAATTTTTGTTGAAGTCTGCTGATTCGCTGTTTGGAAAGCGTCAGCATCGGTAGGAAAGTTTTTGATCCATCCATTCTTGCACTGTCAATCATCAGGACTAGGCTAGCGATAATTAAAGACTGACTTACACAAAACTGAAAAATTCAAGCACTGCGCGTAATAATTTGACAGTATGGATAAGTTAGGTTAATTGACCCAGTGATCGCTGCCGCCGCTATACTCAAACATTTCACGCCAATTTTTCTTCGCTACTTTCCAGTTTGAACGTTGCCCTATTGATCTTAGTGCTGTTACAGCATTTGTCGTATTTCAGGGGATCTGTGGCTGATTCAGTGAAACCTTCGCACCGCTGCACTTGACTTGAAATTTGAATACACACGTCAGTGTTTAAAGTAGTGTTCTGTCGTCCTTAATTGCAACAGTCACTGTCGACTGTAACCGATATTATTTTAGCTTATTTAAATCGGTGGTAAATGTGATCGTGCTGACTTTCGGTAGATCGGCAAAATATACTGTTTCTTATATAAAATTTTAATTTTCAGACTGCCCTCTGAATAAGCTTCCAGTGCGACGTAAAGACCGAAGTCTGGTAATCGACAGCGAGAAACATGTTAACAAGATCATTTGCGATCCTTTGGAGACGGTTTACCTTCGATGGTTGCCTGTCACAATTCTTTGTTTCCTTGGTGATCGCTATTTTGCAGGCTGGAGGGTATCGAGCAGCAGTATCGTAAAAAGTGCAAGAAATGTGGTCTCTTTCTCTTCTATCAGCACTCGGGCAACATGAAAGTCACGTTTATTGTTGACGGCGCACTGGTGTCGGCGAAACAACTGGGCGGTGTGAATTGCCGCAAGGAGGAATCTGTGACTGCTTCCGACGAAACTTCAAAAAAGGTAACGTCTGCTAGGCGTGCTTATGAAGTAGATAACAATAAGATGCGATCAAGAAAGTGATGCCAAAAATTTCTAAAATAAAGAACCTGATTAGTGTGTATATCAACCGATCATTGCTACGCCGTGAAAACGCTGTTCCGCTTACCAAAGCAGTCGGAATATAGTCAGAAGGGGTCCATGCGTGATGGGATCCATTTCCTTATATGCGTGATTAGGTAATTCTCTATATTGAGATGAAATGTCTTGCCGTTCATCCAGACATTGCGTGAATTCGATCAATAAATAATGTGTTCGTTTATGTTATTAAATGTATGTGACCCTTCGTGACTATTTAAATGTCTTTATTTCGCCAAGGATGCAAACCCCAAATCTCAACTTCTGGTTAATGAACGTTTTACTGATGTACGGAGTTACCTGTAGGGATTTCTTAATATTTTGCTCATTATGTATCGCGATTGTGCATTTGATGATAGCTGGTGGTATGAAAGTAGTTGTTAATGCGATAGAAGTAATTTTTCATACACTCTTCGAGGTAAGCTAAACAGTATTTAAATCGTGTGTTGACAAAATTAACTACCATAAAATTGCCCGACGTTTCGGTTTTTATCTTACAGGTGTTTTTAACGGTTTATGTGTTTGTGACATGAATTTTGCTATTCATCTGGGTTCTTACAGGGGCCAAAAAGCTATTCTCCATTACCATTTAGTTTAAATTGTAGTAACAATTTATTTTAGCAGTCTTAGTTTTACAGTGTAATAGAACAAACACGTCCGCAAATTTTTGCATGTTTATGCTCGACTGGAATTAAGCTTCATAACACGTACAGATGCTAATCGCTTTACGATATTTCGACTTTACGATGGTGCGATAGCGATGTGCCTTCATTCTCTGTAACGATCGCGAGAATAAACATCTTATGCAGTATTTAGCAACGTATCATACGGTGATGATATGATTAGTTATGAGATTTACAAAGTTTGAAGGACAAATACAAAATGCTCTTGCCTGCCGTAAAGAAATAGACTCCAGTCAAATCTTGATGTCTTCTTGAAAAGGGAAGCGCCTGTTCCTGAATCATCATTAAGTGTCGACGACCCAATGCCTTCTACGAGCTATGTTCGCGAATACGAATCATCAGAAGTGAAAAGACTGATGACCATGTCGTTATGGCCTCCTCCCCAGGATCATCTTCCAGCAATTGATGTTAATTTTTAGTTACTGGTATTTAGTTAGTTACGGTAATTATTCGGTTATTTACTTATTAAATCACAGCAGTCATTTATTTGCATATTTATTCATAATATATTCATATTCGATTTTTTCAAACTTACAATGAGTTCTTCGGAACGTAACCCTATTGTAAGTCAAGGAGCATGTGTAGCTCAATTTATGAATCTTGAGAAATACTTCAATGCTGGCAGCGTGAGAGGCGCAAGATTTGTAATGAAATTTTTCATTGCTACTTCCTAACGCAATAATTTGTTTACAGTATAGACGGCGTAGTACTTCACTGTGTTCTTACATAAGTATGTGCGATGGCCCAAATCTTTTGCTTATAGTTAACGAGGTGTTTTTCTGATCACGTTTTATAATAAGTAATGAGATTTGTCAGTTAGCTGGCCGTCGCAGGGTCTGTATCATGCTTCCTATGTCAAGTCGAACTTCCACAGAGACTTTAAGGGACACATAGTTGGACTGCACCCTTTCCAGCGATCTCGTATATTCTTTATTGCTCGCTCTCTATAGTTTGTGGAAGGCATTTCAAGTTTAAGGTCAGCTTAATACAAGTATGTTACACTGCTTTTTATTATATAAGTAGTTGGCTTCGATATTGAAGTTTACAGCATACTTCAGATGAACTGTATGTAATAAGCACATTGCGTCGTGAATCCGTATATTATTGCGCATATGTATAGTATTTGTATACCTTTCTTTCTTCGAACTTGTAGTGCGATGTTACCTCCGTTTTATTGCGGTTAGCCAGGAGTATGTTTTCTAATGCGGTATTTACTGTTAAGCAATCAATGAAAGGTGTAATCTCATGTTTCATTCTGACCTAGTGATATACGCTTATCTGTAATCTTCATCTTCATCTTCCATCGCCGCTTCTCCTTTCGGGTCGCGGAGGCAGACGCGTCAGACAGT